GACCGAGAATTTTGACAAGGGACGCCTGCGCAATGCAAGATATTGTTCTTGTGAGTGGCTGCCTGTAATTACATGTTAACGTGCAGGAAATGTGGGAGCCGGTCCGTGTAAAGGCATGTGATGTTTCTGCGTGTCTATTTTTGCTTGTGGCAGGTGAGACTATTGATGTATGAAATGTGATTTGCGTGGTGATGCCATTTCATAGGCGGACCTCACCAACACAGCTGTCAGCTCTTTACGTGGCCAACAGATTACCGAATAACAAAGACTCCCTCGATGAACTGTGCATGTGCGGCACTTCTAATGATTGCTTTCATCTGAGCTCGAACGTCACTTATATTCTTAACTCTCCATCCCTTCATTTACGAGAAGCCACACCTTTTGCCCCCCCCCTACACCCCGCCCCCTTTATTTGTCCCTTTCCTCCATGCATGGTTGCACATCTATCTTTATGTGGCATTTCTGCCTGCCCCCTTGTACCGTTCCCTCTGTCTTCTATACACCTCTACATCATCCTCTGTCATTCCTCCCTCAGTTATGCGATGGATAACATTGGTGCTGTAGTAGTGGGTGGGGTAGTCCTGCCTTACTAGTTGATTTAATGAGCTCCTTTGGGGAATCGGCTGAAGCCATCAGTAGCTGTGTGATGCCACTCGGTATACCCAGATCTTTTTCACAGATGTGCCTTTTGCTAATGATAGCAGAACTGATTTGTATTCTCATGATCGGCCGCACAACTATAAAGAAAGAGATGAGAGATGAGGACGCCAGCGGTAGGTGTGGAAGCCCTCCACAGTGCTGAGAGAAAGTAACCATGAATATGGATGATCTTCTTTTCTCCATTGGCCTTTCATCTGTGCCGCAGTCAGAGATTGATGGCAGTTCGGATCTGGGGAAAAAAAAAGGACCGTTTTCGAGGAACATCCGGGAAATAAAAAAGAGCCTCGATATCAAGACTAACAGAGGGATTCGGTATTCAACAACAGCCACAATAAAAGAGAGAGAATAACAAATGTAAGGTGCAGTCAAGTGATGTGCAGACAGTAATTGGAAATCACTTAACTGTAGATGCAGTAGTGAAGAGGGCCGTGGTTGGATTACATTTACAACTCTAGTATCTCTGGTCCTTCATGGAAATGAATGGGAATTATCCAATTCAGTCTATCCCAAACCCTCTCCAGCATAATAGGCCGTTAGCACGTAATTAGAGCTGAACTGGTCACATGTGAGAGACCTACACAGACTACAACACGAGCTTCAGGATTCCCAGAGGCTCTGTCTCTAATGACTGCCTCATTATGAACACAAAGGGAAACAAAGAGAAAACTTAGAGGATGCTGACAGGCAGAGAAATACTGATCTGTCATACGTGGCCAAGATGAGAGGCAGCCGGTTCGTGGATTGAACGGTAAAAATGGAATGAAAGTGATGAAAATAAAAAAAGAACATGGTTGCGTAACGTTCAACAGTGATTAACTGAATGTTGGTGTAGTTGACGTTCAGTCACACAGCCGGGATTGTGGGTAGAACAGGAATACTATGTGTGTGCAGTCTGTGTGGATTTGTATGGACATTTGGATTTGTATGTGCTCTAAATCTTTCAATTTGTTTGTGTTCCTCAAGAAAGATGGTCAGCTCCTTCAGCGTGAGGTGGTCACTGACCATGGTACTGAATTCTGGCCTTCCTGACAGTCTCAGAAGCAAAGTCACATGTGGTAGTTTGTCATGACAGTGCAATGGTAGACACCGATCTGACCCGTGTAGCCCCGTGATGCGGGATGCGCAGGCAAGATCTTGATATGCCGATGAGGTTCTGAGTCCGTTATGTGACATTATAGCAGAGCAACACAGTTTAATGCATACATTTGAGGAAAAAAAGAGAAGCATTACAAGCGAAACAAAAGACAACATTGGAAGACATTCATAATGGTGGTTTCTTTGTGTTACAATAAACTTTGTCAGAGGAAAAAAATACTCATGTTTTGCCTTCTTGCCATCGTCTCTCTGTCCTTTGACAGTGACATCTCTCTGTCGACCAGTCAGTTGAAGACAGTGAGTCAGGCATCATCCTTTAGATACCATAGCACTCTGGTAGAAATGAAAGAACACTGAAAATGCATATCTGTACTTGTGCATGTCAGTCAAATTGTTGATCACGAATGGAAATGATTGTCTGGCCATCAGTGTCATGGGCTAAAAACAAAATCTTACTTTGTACAATAATCACTTTGATGAATTACCAGTTAAGAGTTTGTGGAGAAGTATGCAAAGTATATTCTATATTGGTAATTGTTACAAAAAACCCTCATTATTAGAGTTGAAACTTATATATAATTCAGCAACACCTATCAATGTGTGTTTATAGCACTGTAAACATATACATATATATATATATATATATATATATATGCAGAGGTCAGGGTTTTGATTCCTGCCTGCATGGAGTTTGCATGTTCTCCCCTTGTCCGTGTGGGTTTTCTCCGGGTACTCCAGTTTCCTCCCTCATTCCAAAAACCCTCACAGTAGGATAATTGATTACTCTAAATTGTCCCTAGGTGTGGATGTTAGCGTGAATGGTTGGTTGTCTATGTGTACCCTGTGTTTGGCCGGCAACCAGCTCAGGGTGTACACCACCTACTGCTCAAAGTCGGCTGGGATAGGCTGCAGCATGCCCTCGTGAGGATGACGTGGTTCAATCATGAATGGATGGATGGATCTAAAAAGAATTTTCTCAAATGAATATCGCTATGGTGATCTCCCTCAGGATCACTTCCATATTTTTTACAAGCCCAATTGCTTCTTCTTATTAGTTCCAGCCATGCACTGACTGAAAGGGCTCACACCTGCAGATGGAATTGACTGGATTTCATAACTATAACTACTTTGCCTCATGTGACTATGTTTGAGTCGAAAGTGTAATTAAAAGACAGAATGACAAAGGCTCCCTTTCTTGAGATTTGTTGGAATTGGATCTCCCACTTACATGCGCCACACAACCCGGAGTGTTTGCTGAGGGCTTCATTTTTCTTTTCACAGCTCCTAGGCAGCCAGAATGCGTGAGCCCATTTCTTCCCACTACATAACAAAGTAGCTGTGAGGCCCAGTGGGGCCAGATATATCCGGAGCCTGGCCCAACTCCAGTTGTCTTTACCTCACATTATATTGTGATGCTCCAGTCATGAGAACGGGCATTGGGCCCCAGAGACACTCGTGGGAAATGCGTATTCTCATTTAGATCTTCCTCGGTGTGCTTGCTTTTCAGAAGTACAACTGACAAGAAACTAAGACGCCCACACAACTTAACTTTCATGCAAACTCATTAGTTACGGTATTTAGTGATGTAATCAAAGCCGCGCAGTCTATATTCTGAAGTAGATTTGCAATTAAGCAGACACATTTGCTATCGTTTGATATTTTCACAATTATGTATTTGCCATTGAATTATGTTGTACCCCATCCTGGGTTTCGAGCACTGGCTGTGTCTGCTCATGTTTGTGTGCTGTGTGTATTTGTGTGGCTGGGAGCGTGCTCCTTCGCCTTCATCCCCTTCTCTCTAAGCTGCAAAGTGTTGCCAGGACAACCCCTTGTGGTCCTGGCTGCATCACAGCAGCCCTCAAAGCCAGCACTCAGGGAACCTCCACGCACTTGGAAGGCAGCATAAAATCGGGATAATCGCCGTCGATTACGGCTCACAATGAGCCGCGGCTTCTGAAAGATTCATTCATCTTGGGGGAAAAAAAAGAGGTTGTGGAGGAAGAGAAAGAGAAAGGGGCGTCTTGGTCCCGCCGCTGCTCTCCCACGGTGGGCACAGGCATGACATCAGTGGACTGAAAGAACCAGCGTGCCCTCCCCGCTCGCTATATTCTTATATTCCAATTTGAGCTCCGCCCCCCTCCCTCTGTTTTTTTCTCACCCCTGCCAGTTTGGATGCAGAGCTTGGCCGGGCAACTTGGGGGCACATCCACTGTTTGCTTGTGAAACAAAGCCCCTCAAAAGGAAGAGAGAGGAAACAGAGCGCTTCACATGGTACCAGCCAAGAGCAGGAATGGCCGCCTCCGCCTGCCCCTCTCAGGCGCCTCTTTTGGCTGAGAGGAGGTGGTGGGATCGCAGCAACCCCTTTCCTCCAGAGTGTCTCCCTGTAACCCCTTCCTCTCGGCACCCCCAACTCTCATATAAAAATGCCACATTTTCCCCGAGAGAGCCTTTTGAATAGGTATGACATGTCAAGGGATGAAGGATGGGCAACTTCTCATGACACAATCTCTGCCGACAAGGATGACATTGCACCGTCTTCTGTTGTGCAGCCGGCCATTTGTTGAAAAAGGAAATAGCTTTCCAACACATTTCCCTAATTAGAATAATGTGGTACTGCTGAATGCTATGCGAGTCCCATGCCGCTGGGAGATGGGAGAAAATCAGTTTGACTCCATCCTCACATGAATCATGATGGTTATTTGTGCTCTGGGGCTCAATTGCAGCTTTTTTTTTTTTTTGGTGGGTTTTACAGACATAAAATGGATGGTTTACTTTCGAGTGTAATAACCCTCCCTCTCACCTGCGAAGTGATATTAACATTTTGCCTTGATGACCACACAGACAATGTTGCATTTTGTTGCATAATCACTAAGAACTGAAAGCATGAACTCCCATCTGCTGCCCACCAAGACAGCAAACATTGCTGATGTCTACTTATAAAGCTCTGCATATTGAGCCATTAGTGGGCATCATTATTGCCATATTCCACAGAGGTGGATCAGTCTGGGAGTGGGGATTACAGTGTCCAGGGAATGGAGGGTCCCAGGGATTGTGCTCGTAAGCGCTGATATAAATTTTCCCCCTCCACATCTGATTTGTTAAATAATGTATTTATGTTATATATGTGTGTGTGAGGGGGTGGGGTGGGGGGGTTGGCATGGGGTTTTGGTAGTGGAGTCAGGAGGTGGGGGCTTAGCTTCGCGTGGGTGGGTGTCTGCAGACGTCAGGACGGGCCAATTCAGGTGGTCCCTTGCAATGACTTGTTCTGTGGTCTGATCCGAGTGGAAAGGACTCGTGTTCTGTGGATGCTCAGGAGGAGCCGGTGGACAGCTGAGAGCTACCAGCACATCTATGCTGGCCGCAGCCAACCGCCATACTTGGGACCCTATCTTCTGCTGCTCTACTTCTTTTCGTTGCATGGAGCAGGTGTGATTTTTACAGAGACTGATTGAATACCAAAGCTGGTGAAGTGACCCCGGTCAATGCATAGAGCTGTTACCGCAACTCTACCTCAAATGAAGTAAGTCCATTTGGCACTCACACATTCAGAAAGGTCAGCAGTGGGTGGTGCCATTTTGAGCTTTAATGTCGTGGAGCCCTCAAACACGTGCAGCCGATTTATTCAGATCATCATTAATTCACTCTTGGCTTCATTGCCATGTACATTTAATCTCAGGCAAGATTAATTGATTTATCCATCTGAGACCTTCCCCTGCGTGTGTGTGCGCACACACACACGCACACCTGTGCATAATATGATAACTGATTTATGAGGTTCTGTGAATGGCTAATAAAAGCCACGGCAGTTTTATTTACCACGTCAGGTTGAATAATTATCTCAGAAATATGTATTGTCCAATAAGATTTGTAACAGTCCAAATTTTTTTATATGATGATGGTGATAATGATCATTATATTACTATGTTGAAGTGATTATGTACTCGCAACTCATTTCATTTCAATACTAAATTCAGATTTAATTACAAGGGGGAAAACAGGGGTCAAAACTAATGGCCTGGGGCCCAGATCCGACCTGCCACATCATTTTATTTGACTCGCGACAGCAAATCAAGTGTGTAAGCTTCCATGAATCTTACCAAACTTTGTACGAAAAATTTCAAACTGTTACATTTAATGAATAATAATGTTGTGGTATTGCAAACATTTTCATTTTACCAAGCCCCTTTTTACAGTAACTTGAACAATAGTTGAACAAGCTATCATTCCTGACTTCTGATTTCAAAACTACCGTATTGGTCCGAATATAAGACGGTTTTTTTTTGCATTGAAATAAGACTGAAAAAGTGGGGGTCGTCTTATATTCGGGGTCTAGACATTATAACCATTCACGACGCTAGATGGCGCCAGATATCACTGAAGCGTATGCTGAACTTGACTTCCCAGGTCAAAGTGAAACCCTGCCACGAAGAATAAAAATAAAAATAGCGGTAGCACAAAGAATAAAAATAAAAAAGTAGCGGTAACAAGGAAAAGAGAAGAAAATAATAGAAGAGATAACAGAAAATGGAGAAACGTAGTGACAATCAGGAGCAAAGTGGGTCGAAGATCGGCCAGGTTAACCGGCAGCTGAGGAGAAGTTACGATGTAATTTACATTTCAAAAACCAGAAGCCATTCATTTACGAATGTGATTGCACTTTGGATTTGAATGAGGCAAAATAACATGCTCTTTCTCTCAAATATATTGTTATACCGGTAATCATTTGTTTCAGATGTACTGTAATTATTTTCTGGATAAAAATTAATTTGGTGTTCAAAAAGTCTTTTTTCAAACTTGAGTCTTGAAAAAGAGGGGGTCGTCTTATAATCAGGGCCGTCTTATATTCGGGCCAATACGGTAGTTATCCGTCAATTTGTGGTGTATATGTAATAATATGAGGGAAACTGTAATTACCATGTGGTTCGCAACAAAGATCAATTTTCACCACCCTGCCTTAGAATATGCCAGGATCATTCAGAATGGTACAAAGGATTGAAATGAACAAAACTGTCAGATCCATCGTATGAATTATATTCATCTTGTAAGAATAATGTGATCTTTTCTATTTTAACCCCACACATTTAAGGGATAAGAAATTCACTAAATACTTCTTTAAAACACAACCAACTCAAAATGTTGCCTACTGATGAAAAATGTCTTCATTGTGCATAATTTTGTGCAAGTTCATGCCATCATGTGTCTTGGTGAGAAGGGTTCTAATGAGTCTCATGACAGAATAATATCCGACCTCTATGACATTTAACATGTGCTTCCTCTCTCCTCACTGCTAAAAATAATGTGACCGGGAGGGAAGTGCGAAAGAGTTTAATTAACTCCTCATCACTCCTATGGACCAGGATTCTGCAGTACTGTTCATTTTTCAACATCTTTTTTTAAACTTTTATTTATTTATTTATTTTGTGCTTTGACTAATTCAGCTTTCTTTCCCTGATGTATGAGAGACAAGCCGAGGTGGAGTAAAATGGCAATGCTTCGCCGTCTGTTTGCATGTTCATTCTGTATTTCACACTTCACTTTGAAGTTAATAAGAGGAGATCGGAGCACTCCATCTGTGTGCCTGCAAGCTGCCCAGGTGGTCTTCCTATAGTCACAGCAATACACAAAGCTTGAGATGATGTTGTGAGTTTGCGCGCGTGTGTGTGTGTGTGTGTGTGTGTGTGTGTGTGTGTGTGTGTGTCTGTTTATGAAATAATTAGTAACTACAGTATGGTAGCCTCCACTATTCATGGAGAAGGACCGTGCCCAACCGCGAATAAGGAATTTCACCTTAACGTGATTATCAGAATAAGTTCTATCACAAATTGTGATCCCATAAACACTTGAAACATATTTATAATCAAATGATTGCAAACGCATCCAAACACCTTTTAACCCTGAAAAATACAGTGCAGCAAACAGCTTTCCTTGAACACAGCCTTTTATCGTTGTAATGGCGCCCTGCGTGGCTAACGTGTTTGCGAAAGGTTCCCAACGCCGCCTTTTGTTTTTGTTTTTCCTGATGATATTGTTTGAATCTAAAATTCTGTACTTTTACTGCATAGTGTGTATGAAGGGCTTCAATGAGATGACAAAGTGTACTCCACAATACAAGCTTTTATGCACAAATCAAGACCACGTGGGCCTTTGGGTCAGTTCGCCACCACTCTGGCAACATCAGTGCAAAACATCATATTGCCGGTAAAGTCAGGTCTTCAATATAAAATCAGAACAGTATTGTCCACCACACTCAAAAATTAAATACAGCAATGAAATGCATTTTTGTCTTTTCGACACTGGAAAGTCTCACTTCCAGCCAGTTACTAGTGGCAGTTTGGTGTACCCGTGTTAGCCTCTCCCATGCAGCTCCAGTACTTTTGAGGAATATGCGGCATGCTTTGAAAGCACTAAGCCCAAGCGGACGAAGTAGCCGTCAGATTGCATAACCAAGGCAACGTACTTGCGGAAAGACAGGCTGGCTACTTGCTAAGCTAAAGATGTGTAAGCATTCAGGGGATGGAAACATTGTGCTCATCAAATAGTGAAGGGCTAATGGTTTAATTGACCAAAGGTCAGTGTTTTGCTCATGTTGGACGTTTACATCCCATCGCAGACTAATAAGACTACTGCGCTACTTCCGCCGCATGACATCATAGATAAGAAAGAAATCCGAGAATCGGCTAATTTGCACAGGCTGAACAGAAAATACACCATGTTCATGTTTTCAAACAAACCTTCCAATGATAAAAGTATTTCCATCCAATGTAGAGTATTCCATTAACCTGCCAAGCTTGTTTTTTGGAACGTGGGAGGAAATTGGACTACCCGGAGAACACCAACACAGGCACTGGAAGAACATGCAAACTCAAACGGAATAGAACCCTGCACCTCTGCACCGTGACTGCAACATGCTATACAGTCGATCTGATAAAAAGTATTTAAAATATAAAATAAATAAAAGCATAGTTTTTGTTGAAATGCGCTGTTTCAAATGATTAAGCGCAGCAGTGTTTCAACATATTGTATCGGTTTGCTCAGAACTGAAAGAAGTCATTTGATGAATTTGCAGCTTTTGAAGGTTGTATTTGCAAAAATGAAAAGCTACTGTCATCAAAAATGTCCTAAGAGGTAAAGTTACATTGGAACATCGGACCTCATGTTTGAAAGCAGCTTTTCCAGTCTTGAGAGTTTTATTTTTCCACCTGAAGGTGGGAAAATAAAAGTAGGCGCGGTTTGTGACTGGCTACTTTCTTCCATGCTGCAAAATGAAGGACACAACTTTGCGAAACAAAATCATCTTTGGATCTTTGACAATGCGCCATCCGATGTCACAAGAAATTCCTCTTCATGATGGGCCGCTATGGTCATAAAAGGAGGGAAAACGTGTGTGGTCCCCATCCTACCCCGGTGATCAACCCTATTGAGAACCTTTGAAGTATCTTTAAACAAACGCTTGATGAGGGTGTGAGGCAGTTCACATCCTAACGGGAGCTCTGAGGGGAAAAGAATTCAAGCAAAAGCTGTCCAAAAACTCACAACTCACACTCAATGGATGCAAGAATATCGAAGCTACTATCAAATAAGAGTTCCTATGTTACAATTGAACTTGATATGTTAGGATGTTTTTGATTGAAATAGCTTTTGATTGCTGCACCCTCCTAACCCTGTAAATTCAACAAATGACTATTTTCTGTTCTTTTACAACCGATACAATCTCTTGAACCACTGCTGTGCATAGTCATTTGGAACAGAGCATTTTAAGGAAAACTGTTTTCACTTTTTCAGGTTTGTTTCAATATTCAAATGATATTACAGATAAAACACTTGATGTCTGGAAAATTATGCAAGGTGTTGTTTGCATAGATTAAAAAAACCCCAAAGAAAAACATCATTTGGAAAATCGTTTGCAATGTGGTCGATCTGGACGTCCACTGCACTTGGGCAACAACAGTAATACTGTAAAAATCCTTTTGATTGAGAAGAAGGTTGTCACAATGTGGCAACAGCCTAAACGGACTTTCATCACCATTAAAATGAACAGTTGACAGGAACGTAATTTATGAGGGCTTCATTTCTCAAATCGAGATATGACTTCTTTCACTGCACAGCCAGCCGCTGGGGGTGGGTACAAGGGCAAAATAATAATAATGTTCTTCGCTGAGACTTTTATTCCGGCCCTGAATTCCAGCGGTGAGGTCAAATGTCAGAGTCACATAATTTCCTCTCGACAATTTGTCCCTGCTGCCATTGCAATGGGATTCTTGCAGGTGAATGGAAAGACTTGGGGTCCGAGCTTGTAGACTGGCGTGCATTTGCTCTGCGTAAAACCTGGCAAATCTTCAGATTGGTGCAAGTCTAGTCGACTGTGTTTGGGAATTTGGCAGCCATGCCTTACAGAACATTATGCGGGTTGAGGGTGTTTTCTATTCCCTTGGCACACCTTAGTGAGAGAAAGTAGACTCAACTTCAGACCAGGGCAAACCAGGTGTTGTGTCACAGGTGATGTAACACAATTTGGTGGATTTGATCCAACTGCAGGCAGACAGATTCTGTGCTCTACTGATATGTGTGATGGATGTCATCATAGTTCCTTCATAAATATGACATCAGCGTGTATCTTAACACCTCCAATGAGTTCGTTTTGCTTCCGCCATGTTTCCAGCGCGCTTGTCCTGCAATTATTTTAAAGGGAATGAATGAAGGGAGCCACTTCCACCCATGCGCACAGTTAGACTGCACTTTGCGGCAGACACGAAAATAGGGCCCAAAGACATTTCCATCTCCGGTCAGACATAGAAGAACAGTATTTTCAATGCTAGTTTCTAGTCTTTTTCTTTCTTTGAAAAAAAAAAAAAAAGGAGCTGTCCACCTGCTCTCTTATCGCATTCACACAAGTGCAGAAACATCTTTTGTGCTTTCTGCGGAAATGATTACTCAATTAATTAATAAGCCTGTGTGACTAATTTCCCTCATCGTACAATTGTATTTGAGTTTTTAGCAGGATGATTGAAATTGTACGGTCATGGAAATTGAGTGGAAAAAAAAGAGTGCTTTGAGTCTCTTCCCCCATCACTAAATTCATGTGACATCCCAAATTGTGTCACTAACTCATGGATAATTGACTTAACACCGTAAATGCATGATGTCTATTACATTTAAACAAAAAGGACACTGCATTAAAGTATTTTTTCCCCCAAACCAGATCTCCAGTGAAAACAGTTTAAACGACAAAATCGTCAATGTCTTGGGACAATTGATGGCCACACTGCCGCGATGGATCACAATAATAAAGGGTGCCGTCGATTACAAAAAGCCACATCGGAGAGCATTAAGAAACTGCTTTTAATAAGGAGCTGCAAATTTATAGGCGGCAGCTTGTCGTCAACTTCCATCTGTTGACTGCCATAGCAACCGCGAAGGGTTATATGAGAATGAAAGCTCGGCATCACACTCGGATGGTTTAACAGTTGCTATTTTCTCCTGAAAGTATATTGAGATTTTTAGAGCTATTCAAAATGAGCACATGATTGGATTTCTGTTACACTTCACAAAGTGAACAACAACAGATGCCTACATGACATACCTGCAAATCATGAGTGCTGAAAACTGTAACGTGAGATATTTTTGTTCCGTGATGGTGCATTGCTGAACTGATTGTCTTCTCTGTTTCACAGTGCCAACAGTATGCCTAAACAAGTGGAGGTGAGGATGCACGAGAGTCACCTGGAGCCAATAGAGTCCCGGCCTCAGTCCAAATGTGCCAGACTCTGCTCCAAGATGTTCAAGAACCTTCTGCTCACACTCACTGTCCTCGGTCAGTATTGAGGACGTCTTTTTGTCCCTTTTTTGTTGAGCATATTGTGATGTCTTCTGTTCCAAGACCCACATGAAATGGGAGCAGCCATCTGTACTGTTTAGATGTACTGTACCAGACAGTGAGATGACTTATCTGTCGTGACCTTTCTCCCATCCTTGCCACCTGTTGCAATTATAAGCGCTCGGCAGCATCCACCCGGTCACCCAAACGGTCTCCGGTGGTGCATAAAAACTATTGTGATTACAACAGGTTCACTGGAATTGGGATTTGTCTTGACACTAGGAAAGGGCACCGATGCAAGAATGTCGGCCCTGCAGCCACGCATGGCATTTGCATTACAATGTTTGATGACTATGTTGCCTGTCTCACGCCACCTCTACATATCCAGTATGCAAACATACTGTAGGTTGGAAATGCGTGGGTGCATAGCGTGCTTATTTGTGCACACATGTGTACATCCCATCCCATTTGGATGCAGAGGTGGAATTCATAAGTCTAAAGTTAATGCATGTTCGGTTCTGACTGAAGCAAATAATGTTTTAGGATTCCAAAAAGACAGACTCAGAGAAAGTGTGATTACAAAAACATTTATTAAAGAAAATCGCACCAACAAAGTATAAACTGAAATCGCTGGTCACAAGGCGCCAGGAAAAACAATGCTTGAAATCAAAAGCGCTTGCAAAGGCAAGGTTCAATAGAACACACAAATGAAATATCCAAAAGTTCAATAACACAAAAACAAAGAGCAATACTAGAATAACAAACATATTGACAAACAAGTATCTATGAACAAAAATAAGAGTGACTATGATTGGCATTGAGAGGTCTACAAAAATCACACTTGAAGCATAACAGCAAGCAAGGTCAGTAATTTGACAAGGCTTGGCAGAAGTCAGAGTCCTTAAATACAAGGCTGGGCTTGATGGGGAAACGAGGTACAGGTGCACCTGCTGGAGGGAAACATCCTTCACTCCAGCTGGACCTGGAACACAATCAAGACAGAACATGATACTGTAGAAAAACGTCAAACAAGTTATCACTTTATATATAAATATATACACTGTATATACACATCCATCCATCCATTTACCGCCGCTTATCCAGGGTCGGGTCGCGGGGACAGCAGCTTTAGTAGGGAAACCCAGACTTCCCTCTCCCTCCGTGAGCCATCACCTTACCGTGGTGGAGGGGTTTGTGTGTCACAATGATCCTAGGAGCGAAGTTGTCTGGGGATTTAAGCCCCTGGCAGGATCACCCATGGCAAACATGGGTGAGGCACCAGACAAAGCACGGCACAAAGACCCCTAATGATGAATAAAAAAAAAAAAATATATATATA